CACATTAGATAAACTAGAAGAAAAATAAAGGGAAGCAGATGGTTTAGTCAAAGAGTGAACATTTTGTGGACAAATGTGAGGAAAGCTTTCTCTCAGCTGTAGTTTTTTCTTCATTCAGATGCTGGTGCTCGCCCTTGAAGTGGGGTTTTTAATTATACCTCTCACTTTAATTGTGGTGCCCTAATTGCTCTCCTCCCCGGAAAAACAATGATGGGAAACATCTGAGTTGCAAGGTCTAAGCTTATGTCAGTGGGGTGGATGCATTTCCAATCTAAGGTGTAGGAAATAAAATGAGAACTAAAACGAGGACAACTCGGGCTTCCCCTTCATCAAGGTCCTGTGCTGATGGGGAACATGGGCAGGTAAAGGGACAGTTATAGGATAATAGCCTTCTCTAAGGAGGTAAAGACATCAGTGGACTTCACCACATGTTCACACCATCATTGCCCCATTACATGTTCATGGGCCTTCACTCCTGGAAGATGAAAATGGGCTTGCCTTGATAAGTTTCCCCTCCTCAGCCTTGACTACATGCTATTGAACTCATACTGGAACATGTAGCCCCTGAGTTGAGAGGTCAATAAATAGGTCACTATGGTAATAGTATTCACTTTGCCAGAATTAAAAACAGCCCTGAATACCAGACCCCCACCATGACCAAATCCACCCCTCCGACCTTCCTTCCCCATTTTGTCTTAGGGATGTGACTGTTGAACTTGGAGGACTAGAAAGCCTCATCTTTATTATTTTTGAAAAGATCTCTCTGCTGTATTTTCTGACTGCCTCTTCTGTATTTTTATCCTCTTTTCTATAGTCATGCTTACAATAGTGTTTTAGTGATTACTATTTAGGGTTCTTCAGTTCTCATCCAATCTTAAAAAGAGCCAACCTACATTTAAGATGTATATAAATCTAAAATATTTTCAAGTACAAATGAGGGAGTGTCAGCATCTAATTGGATTACACAGACTTATCTTTAGTAAGTGTAATGCACCATTTGGAGAATAGGCAATGTATGTACATTCTGCTGAATAATTAAACTATTAAAAAACTGCATAATTAAAAGCTACACAATAAATAGATTCTCTACAAGAATCTGCAGTACATTAAAATAATGATTTTGTAAAGCTTGAAGCCAATAAAGTCAGATTCCTTTTAAATATGTGACCTACCACCTCCTGAAAGAAAAAAGCGTGTGAACATAATCGCAGATGGGTTTCCTCTGGAGAAATATAGTAAGGACAATGTGATTTGAGCTTTTTGATGATCCCCTCTACCCTGAGTCTAAATTTATAAAATTCCTCATCCAATCCACTGACTTCCCTAACACAGACAGAGAAGAGAAATTCATCCCATGCTTTCTCTCTGAATTATCTTCCCGGCCCCACGTTGCAGGAGCGGCCCTCTGTTTTATGTGTTGTCAGTTGTTGGCTTTGTGGGACATTTCCTTGTCATCTTTGCTTTAGATAATTCAGAATTGGAGCAGCTCGGCTTTCACCATGACTGAGTCCCACGGAAAGCCAGGTGACACGTTACCTAGTTAAAAAGATCCTGTTACAGAGTCGAGGAGAAACAATACAGAAATTTGAGTTTTGCTGCAACTTTGGAAGAAAAAAAATCTATCATTTACTTTCTTCTCCAGTGTTCCCCTTTGGGGACAGCCCCCGGGGGACAGTATCAATAGCAGCTGAGTGCTTTACCCTTATTAAGTCGCCAGAAGACCAGAATGTGATCCAAAATATCTCTGTTGCTTTCCATTTGGTAGAATCTATCATATGATATTTTTAGCAATTGTTTTTTTGGCAAAAACAGTGAAAATAAAAGATGAGGACATAAGACGTTTTTTAAAAGGAACCTATAATAGATGTTACATAGTTATTGTTTTGGGCTGGAGCCTATTGCTTATTCAGAAATGCACCTTCTATTTGAAGTAGCACTTGGCACCAGTGAGAACAGGAGCTGAAAGTGAAAATCACTTACACGGCTGGAACTGTGGAGAATTGTTGAGGCTATCTCGCCACAATAATAGGAGATGCACTTAAAAAATTGACAGAACACTCATCATTTGGGGCCCATTGTTCAATGAGCCTATTGCTCATAGCCCCAGGAGGATGACAAATTTGCCCACTATCAACCCAGCAAGAATTTCTGGTTGAGATCATCTTATCTATTCTTTTTTTCTTTTTCTTGTAACTAGTGCAACAGATTTACATGAGCTTTAAAAGTCAAGCCCTATTTTTTTTTCATTTTTTAAATCAGACTCCATAATATGGTATTTTAGGAATCATGATAAGTGACTTTGCTTTATACATAAATAGTGTTCATAAGAACATTGTTTCATTGTTTGAAATAGATCCCACTATATCCACATTGAGAGCCTGATAAATAAATAGAATTTAGTCTATATTCAACTCATGTTTGGAGAACTATGAGTTTCAAATGATCAGACCCTATTACGAGTTAGATAAAGATGATTGGCAAGTTTTTGGCTGATCAAGTTATCTGATTTTTAAATGATCTGCCTTGAGTGTTTTCCTTAAAAACAGCAGCTTCCACACAAAGACCTTGGATGATAGGTACCAGGTGGTCAGAGGAGTGTTCCCTAACTCATTAATCAAACCGCTCAAGCTCTTTCAACAAAGACTTATATTTAGAACACATTGAAGTACCTTAAAATGATAACATTAAACTAAAGTAGAAGGATTTATTTTGGGATCCAAAGAGAAAATGAAGAGTTGTATACTCTGTAACATAATTCAAAATATAAATTTTATAAAACATAATTACTGTTTTGTAAAAAGCAAGAAAAACCCAAGACCTTTTAAAAATTTTATTTTATTTATTTATGCATACAAGAGCTGGAGTATGGGCCAGAGGTGCAGGAGGGTGAGAGGATTCACCAGAGACAGAGTGGGGAGCAGAGCAGGGGGATTGACTGAAATATGCTGCTGAGGGGAGCTGCACCATGTGGGTTAGCTCCCTGGTTGGGGGTTGAACTCAAACTGCATTGGCTGCCTATAGCTTCATAGTGCTGAGATTTAACCCCTTGTGCCACAATGGAGGCCCCTAATCCAAAGACTTTTGACAATTTTTTTGGAAATGTAAAGATTCTGTGTAATCTTGAAAAAATAAATGCAGAAGTTAAGTAGCAGTACATGAACACAGACACACTAAGTAATTGATTATTTCAGTTACTAAGAGTAAATTTGAACATTTTAGAGACTGAAATTTTTGTCTTTACTATAAAAGAATGCACTTATATTCCTGATCATGTTAGTTGTATTAGAATTGATGAGCTCCTATAAATTGCTTAATCTGACTGACACTATATTAAATTCAGTATATGCTTTTATTTTCTTCTCAAACTGTAGAGAGACATGATAACAGAGATTGTAGTAAGATTCTTACATCCTGAAACATTGTTACTCTAAAATTGAATGAAACCTCACAGTTTATTTAATTGACTAACTATATTTCATGTAAAATAAATGTAATTAACTTTAAATACGAATCTGTGATATAATCTAATTTATAAAACTTAATGATCACATTTATGCTAAATATATAATTTCTTTGAAAATACAACTCTAGATTTTAAAGGCCATCTCTCAATAAACTAGAAATAGTCTACAATCTTCTGGCTTCTATCGGTTCTTTTAAAAAGTGAGCACTCTGGCTAGTTCCCTGTGGGGGTAGAGTAGGAAATCCTGGGAGGTTTAAATCTGGTCATCGAAAAATGGAATATTTGAAAGCAAGGTTTCCAATATGGTGTCAATTCTAATAATGATAGTTTCCAGACTGTACCTCTAAGAATGCAAGATCATAGAGGAATAAGTAAATAGGTTCTCATTTTAATCTTCAGAAAGATGTTGTATGTTTACCCAAGTAGTGAGAGAGATACACTTCTAGAACCCTAAATTTTTGAATAGTTATTTTACCCTTTACATTGAGGAGACCTGGTCACATATCATGCTGGGCATTATTTAAAGCCTTCCATCCATTTCAATTGCAACTTCTGCTTTTAATCACCTTTATTGGTAAATTGGAGTCAAATCATCATAGATACTTGCCTAGTGATTGACCTGGTACTTTTCTGCTCATCAAGCTTTGGCATGTGAGTGTAACAAAGGTAGTCAATATCCAGTGCTGATGGGAATAGCATTCTGCTCTGAAATATATGACTTGCCAATGTGGTGGGAGAACCTCAATACACAAAAATATGTCAACTATTATCTCAATACCTGATCCTGTGCTTTTCCCTTAAATCTATTAAAATTCTTGATGATATTACCTGGTTACTTCTCTCCTCTCACTGCTCACCTATCCTGTTTACACAGTTTATCCATAGTCTCCCTGCCTTGCTTCTCATAATGTGGTTTCAGGAAAATGGGTTATTGACTCACTGGCACTAAAATATGCATAATATTTGAATTGTGATAGAACTTAAGCCAAGGAATGAACCATCCTCTTTTTTTTTTTGTCCATTTAAGAAATAAATCATTTTCAGTAGTAGGGCCATTTAGAACCTCTGAAATAACATCAGCTGTCACCTGCTATGTAAGTGGATAAAATTGACCGAGATTGGAAAAAAAAACCCAAAAAATATATTATTTCCAAGTGTGTTATATAGAAATACATGTATTTTATTTATATTTATACATACTTCTTTATTTATTATTACTTTATATTTATATAGTTTTCTTTCAGAAAATTTCTAGAAGAGAAAGGAATTAGAGAAACAGAGCTACCACATTTATGAGTTGGCATTTAAGGTATCATGTTTTAATTTTAAAAAGACTGTCCCAGAAGCTTCTGAAAAAATAATATTTAAGAAGAAAAGTCCTGGAAATTCAAATATACTAGTTGATCATGATAAAAAAAAAACTTTTCAAACCAATAATTAGAATAATACCTTGATGCAAGATTTTGTTAGTTATTGATCTATGTGCGTATTTTCTATCATTCAAGTACTAGTCTTTTATTTTTCCCTTCCTTCCCAGTGTTGAAGAACCCAGTGTGTAAGCTGTATAGATTTCCCACGTCCGACAACAAGTGGATGCGGATCAGGGAGCAGATGTCAGAAAGCATCCTCTCCTTCCATATTCCCAAGGAATTGATCTCGCTTCACATAAAAGAAGATTTGTGTAGGTAAGAGAAGATAATTGATGATTATCTCTCACAGTGTTTGTTTTTTCTAGAAAGCATTTTTTTTTCTTAAGGTATGATGCTGACATAAACATCTAGACCTAAACCATGCAGTAGGGCAGCCATTAGCCCTGGTTGGCAATTAATCACTTGAAATGTGACTTATCCACTCAGAGATGATTTGTAAGTGTGAAAGGCACACTACATTTTGAATTCTAATTTTTTCTAAACACTAAACAAGAAAAAAAAAACTTTTCATAATAAAATGTTAACATTTTGGATTTATTTGGTTTAATAAATTTGTTCATAAAGTTAATTTCACCTGCTTTTAAAACACTTTCAAATATGATAATTAGAAAGTTTAAAATGACACATGTGACTCTTGCTTGTGGCTTGCATTATGTCTCTATTGTATAAAGGGTGTCCAGCCAGAAACTTGAGCTTTGACCTTGCTAATAATTCTTTTGTCTTTACTTCATCTGCTTACAGCTACCATTTCTGTACAAAATTCCTATTTGACTAATCTTTGGACTATTCATCCATAACAAAGCTTTCAGTTGTATCTGTGGATCTATAAAACTCTTTGAGGTGATGGATGAAGTCGGCTATATGGGTGGACAGTATTATCATACAACAAAATTTAATCTGTTGGCATAAGACATTAGAATTTGAGAGCTGATTGGTTGATAAGAACATTCCTGGGTCCTGACTAATCAATTTGTTTCTCTGCCTTATAAACCTTTAGTGACTTTAAAAATGCTGAATACTACATTATGCTAAATACCATTAAGGACCATTAAGGTCCTAAATCTCAGAAAATTAGCATATTTTTTTAATAGCTAACATTTGTAATTGCTCAAATATATAGCAGAATGTTAAATGTGCAAAATTTGGGTTTCTGTCTTATGCTCACATTAGTACACCAAGTTACTTAATTATATTGTGTCCTTTGGTGGACTTGACAGTCCCCAGAAATGCTGTTATTGATCTAACCCCGTCAGCACACTGTGGACGAGGCAGGTGACACCTGGCTGTTGACAGTAGTCATCAGTGTAGCAGTGACTCTGTAAATACTAAGTATGCAAATGAGGAAAAAAGAAAATTGAAAACAGAACACAGCTTTGAGGGACAGAGAGTAACCTGGATGATAAGAATCCAATTTGAATCTAGAGAAAGAGAGATTGAAAGGGACACCGGACAGTGGGCAGCTGACGACTGCAGAGTGGGGATAATCAGGCCACAGCTAACAGACCAACCTGTCACATGTTCAGCTGTCACAGAAGAGCCACATGCAAGACTGAATTATTGTAAATCAAGTTAATCTGACCTGGGCTTTTGATAATGATCTCCACCCAGAGCTGGTACTAAGGGGAAGTGCTGGCAAAACAGGTTCCTAGGAAGGCTAAGCAGGCATGTGTGTGGACCAGAGGGTCTGCAAAATCATAAAGGAATTAGAATCCTCGATCTTGTTGTTTTCTAGACATTGGACACCAAGCGCTACTCCTCGTAGGTGTCCCCTGATTTCACAAGGTTGGAGAAAGTGCTGCTCCCCACCCTTACCGGGGCTGAGAACAAGAGACTCACAATAGACAAGCATTAGTGGAAACACCACTAAAATGGTGGTGTCTATAAAATGACCCCTGAAAGCTGCATCTACTTAGCCAGCCCTAGATTCCTACCAAAATATCCATAAGGAAACAGAAAATCGTAACTTTCATGAAACATTGATTTATTAGCATAGTGCTGGATTAGTAATATAACATGCTATAAGGGACAAAATGACTATTGGGGCTAACATAGGGGGTTTACAAATCTTTCTTGCTATTCATGCTATTTCATCTAAAGTTACAGTGAAGTAGTAAGAATGGGGATATGAGACCCCCACTGCTGCCCTAGTCTTTTATCATCAGATTGGAAACATATCAAAGGCTGAGAAGCTGTCCTCATGCACGTTTGCTAATGCCAAGTTGTCCACACCACCATCACCTCCCTGTACTGTCTCTGTCCACTCACTGACAGCAAACTCCAGGGGAGGGAAATGAGTAGGGAATTAGGGGAAAGCGGCCACTAATCCACTGACTTCCACTTGGCATTGCCTCCATATGTAGGTTTCATTATGGTTTAGTTCACGAAAGTCCCGTTCCTCACCCCAATCTCTTGCCTTTCTCTGCATCTGTCTTGCCTGTGCCTTCACAGTAGGGGCTGGGGGCAATTTTGGTGAAGACAAAGGAACAGCCTCTCCAAATATAAAGTTAAGGCCCCTTGCTAGGGATCGAACTAGGAACTGTTATCTGTATACTTTGAGAATTGTTCAGAGAAGAAAATCCCATGTGAATCCCATGAAACCCAAATTCTATAAAACCAGATAGATTCTGAGCTTGGCACTGTGAGAACCAGCCTCTGCATGTGCCTTTTGCTTTCTTCAACACCCTTTCTTTGGAAATCTCCCATTACCAGAATGTATTAAAGCAGTTCAACAATGAGTCCTTAAAATTTTATTAAGAAAAGGAGAAAAAAAATCATCCTGAGGACTTAAAAGGGAAATAGGAAAAATTTGTAGGAAAATTGTCTAGCCTTCTGAGTAGAGTGTAAAAAGATACCGTTATTATGAAACAGAATCAGAAAACTGTGAGAAAGAACCATCATCCTCTAGGGAAAATGCCAAGAAGGAAAGAATAATGGAGAGGATAATGAAATTTTAAAATGCAGCCACCAAATTAAATCCACAGGGCTGGCAGAAAAGGACAGATTTGACACTGAGAAATCATATCAGTAATGGGGAAGACAAACATGATAAGCTCTTCTCAGATGCTAAACAAAGGAGAAAAAAGTTCAAAATGATGAGCGATGCTTGATGTGTGGGGCAGAGCACTAGGGACAACCAACTGATTCTAAATATTCTCGGGGAAGAATGATTAATACAAAAGCTCGAAGGAAAACAATGGAAATATATGCGGTTTTGTTTTTTTCTTTTGCATGCTAAAATCAGACTAGCTTTCCACTTTTCTGCAGAAGCCAGTGGAATAACACCTACTGATTTTTACGAGGAAAAGGCTGTGACCCCACTTTATTATCTACAGTGAGGTTATGAAAGTTTTATGAATGAAGCCAGTGTGGGTGGCACACCCCTTGATGCAGGAGCTCAGAAAATGTCACGTATAAAACTTGCTTGAAAAACCTACTTGAAAATATAGGCCATCCAACTGAGAAAATAATATAAATTAGGAATTTTATTTACAATATGATAGGATGTAATAAAATATAAATTAATACAATACATTAAGAATGGGAAAATGGGACATTGTCCTGCAAAGGACTTGAAACTTGGTTCCTGCTTGGAGAGAATCTCTAGCCTGGACAGACTCTGAAGTTCTTTTCTCAATTTTCTTTCACCCTAGTTTGACGCAGATCCTAGGAGGTATTTCACTTGCCTCCACTTTCCTCCCAATCCCATAATTTGGAGGGACTCTTTCCTTGCTTGATGAAAATTACAGGTGTCCAGCACTGTCACATTTCTTGGAAATCATCCTCGGAGAATTAGTAAACACAAGGTTTGGGAATTTTTCTTTAAAAAATTTTGCTTGGGCAACTTTATCAGAATCATTTACACTGCTAAGGAAACTACATAACTCTTTCTGAATCTTCAAAATAATATCAACTAAATTGTATCATTTTAGTTGATGAAGAACAGTAAGTCAGTGAGAGGCAGGTGTGAGCTGTCACCAAGTCCCTTTCATATCTTGTTCTCTGTTGGACCTGTGGATGGATGGATGGATGGATGGATGGATGGATGGATGGATGGCGATACATAACATATATGATTTTATAGTTATTATAATATATTACACTTCTATTTTTTTAAAGATTTATTTATTTTATACAAGAATCGGGATACAGGCCAGATACGCGGGAGAGTGAGAGGATTCACCAGAGACAGAGAGGGGAACAGAACAGGCAGACTGATGAAATACACGGCTGAGGGGAGCAGCAGGCAAGGCAGGAGAGGTCTGCTGCGCCATGTGGGACCCTTACCGGTCAGCTGGGATCGAACTGGTGCATGCAGAGGCTGTGGACAGCTTCACAGCGTGGCGCTCAACCACCTGCGCCACCAGGGGAGGCCCTATATTACATTTTTATTTATTTTTTTAAATTATAAATTTTATTTTTATATTCCCCATACAATTGCAACCCCCTTATTTTGACCCCAATCCCTCCCCTGCCCCCCAACCCCCATAGAGTGTCTCTGGTTCATAGTTGTTTGTTGATTTTGATTTTCACTTTCTTATAGTTATTCTTTTTCCTGGTCCCTTATTTAAGTTTTCTAGATTCCTGCTATGAGTGAGACCATCTGGTATTTTTCTTTTTCTTTCTGGCTTATTTCGCCGAGCATGATCCCTTCCAGCGCCATCCATGTTGCTGCAAACTGCATGTGTTTATCTTTTTTGAATGCTGAGTAATATTCCATGGTGTATATGTACCACATCTTGATCCAGTCATCTGTTTTTGGGCATTTGGGCTGTTTCCAAAGCTTGGCTATTTTAAATAGTGCTGCTATAAACATAGGGGTGCAGGTGCTCTTTGGAATTGATGTTTCTGTGTCCTTTGGGTAAATACCTCGGAGTGGAATTGCTGGATCCTATGGAAGCTCTATGTTTAGTAGGTCCAGAAATCTCCACACAGCTCTCCACAGTGGTTGGACCAGTTTGCACTCCCACCAGCAGTGCAGGAGAGTTCCTTTTTCTCCACAACCTCGCCAACATTTGTTGTTGCTAGTTTTTTAAATATGTGACATTCTTACTGGTGTGAGATGGTATCTCATGGTAGTTTTGATTTGCATTTCCCTGATTACAAGTGATGTTGAACATTTTTTCACATGCCTGTTGGCCGTTTGCATTTCCTCTTCAGAGAAGTTTCTTTTTAGCTCTTCTGCCCATTTTTTGACTGGATTACTTTCTGTATTACATTTTTAAAGAAAAGTTGGTGAATACAATGTGAAATTAGCT